TGGTTACAACACAATTATTTAAAAAAAGTAGATTGAGGACGTAACTGTTTTTGGGAATTCGTGCGAAAACAATACTTGAAATGTGTTTTATCATATCGTGCTAAACTTAATTTATTTTTTTAATCCCGTAACTTGATAGTTGTTTCTTACTGGTTAATTGCATTCAAAGTTACTATCATCTTCCTTAGCTGCAAATTGGGCCTCTTACATTATTGTGATGACAGTTGAGTTGAAACAAGTTATTGCTTGTAGCTCTTAAAAGACATTTACTTCGGTGAAAAGTTAGTTATCTAGATACTGCGTTTTTTTACATGGCTTGACATGACTTTAAAATACAATTTCAGCTCCCTAGGTGAATAGTTTTATCTTACAATGAAAAAAATATATTTTCGAAAGTTAAGTTTTAATAAATATTTAGTGTAGGAAATGAAACTATTTTTCCGGATTTAAATCGCGTATATTTATATTTTCAAACAAAACGTCCACCGAAACGTCGGTTTGTTTGAAAAAACAAATATACGTGATTTAAATCCGGAAAAATAGTTTCATTTCCTATGTGTAACAATCGCGAAAACCTAAGAACTCGATAAATATTTGGTGGTTTTAATCACTCTACGTCACTCCTTGTATCTATATGTAGACATTTTGATATATGCATTTGGAACACCCTATTCCGACCACTGCTGATTATTGCACATGATAATATTGATAATTATCATCAAAGTTGCTTCGATTTAGTATTGGAAATGTGCACTACAAAATAAACACTTAGTAGTATGCAGCAGGTAAAAGAAATAAGAATACATGAAACAGTTTGCTCCTTTCCTGATTTCATCATTGTCATTTTATGCTTCATTGACGCTCTTCTAAATGATAACCAATGCTAGAAAAAATTCTAGTGACAAAAACTAGGTTGAATGATGTTCACGCCATTACGTTCGATGATGACAAATTAGCGCCTGGCCGATGCTCGAAAAAACGTTTAGTATATTTGCCTGTCACTAAGTGGATTGCCATACCGATTAATAGGTACACCATTCTACAATATTATGGAATAAACGTCCACTAATGCTCAATTTATATTGCGGCGGAACAGAGTGGAAGCGAATTTTTGTAACATAGCATAATTAACTTTATGGTCAATTGTGTAACGCACAAACTAGATACGTGCCAAAATCTTCCGCGGAATTCTCACGCATGCTCGCGTATTTCCGTATTCGTATGTTACAAACATTCGCGTCCTCTCCGTTCCGTCGCAATATAAATTGAGCCTAAAGCTATAAAGACTGAATTACTTTTTTTTTTAACACCAACGTACCTACGTACTGGCTCTGCCTAATCTTACTACCATATACAGTGTTCAGGTCCACACGCAAAATAGGCGCCTTGACGTCGAGTTGCGGACACCAGCCCGTTACACCAAGTACCAAGTACAGTGTTCAGGTGTTCATACGTTTCCTTTTCTTAGATGTGCATTTAGTGATTTAAAAATTCCTGTATTCTTACATCTTTTACCATGTGTACAATAGATACAAAAAGATTATCATAGTTACGTAAATGTTCAGCTACTTCAACTTTTACTTTAGAATTGCACCTCTCGAGTACATGCATCGTCGTTGGGAAATACACTTTGTGTTTAACAGAGCCAATGAATATGTGATATGAGTGTTTTCGTAATCTTAGCAACTGGCAATTTAATAGACGTTTTTCAAGGTTAATTCATTAGCCTTACAACACAGCTTGATGGTGCTTACTGCTCGTGGACATTAACTCGCAAAATCCAAACAAATTTTCTACCTACAGCGATATGGTTCGCTTTTTTGACAAATAACAGCAATCGATAGATAGGTTATTCAGATTACTTAGGGCTCTTTGTTCTTCGACGATCTATTTTTCACTAGCGTATAAATTCAGAAAGAATGAACTATTATGTTCTTAACAATATGACTAAAGTTTGCTAACAATCTCTCTCTTTTGAGGTTATACCGATTTTTAATTCACACTTGTACTTAACTGGATTTAAAATATTAATTTAATTTTAAGCTCTTAAGTTGGTAAGGGTGGGTTTTCGTTCGAAACAAATGGATCTTAAGCCGGATTTACATTTGTTTGACGTATCGTGTCGTGACGCGACAGAACGATATCGGTTTCATACATTTAATATGGTTAGATTTATATTAGTGTGTCGCAAACTGATGTGACGGCCTGTGATGTGTGTATGAAACCTTTACCGTTTTGACGAGTCACCACACGACACGCCAGACAAATGTAAATCCGGCTTTACCTATAATATAGATGACAAAATAACTGAATTATTGTTATAGCTCATAAAAGTTTAAAACTCAAAATATATACATCAGTTAGGGTATTTTGTCACTTCAACGCCTTTGTAATACTTTTACATTCCGGTGAGTATACATAATTACGATATAATAACATAGCTAACCACACAATGTAAAATAGATATAGAGATGATAGCTTTTGAAATTAAGGCGAAAACACATTCTCCGTCAAAAACAACCATCATTGTAACATGCTGCCATAGCTAAGAATACAATGCAAGAGGCAGCTTTTGAAATTAAAGCGAAAACACATAGGTACGCCGCCACTCGCCAAAAGGGTAACAACCGTCATAGTGACATATATGGATAACAATATTCTTCCAGAAATACCTATCAAATTAATAATTTGACCACCGGCAGGTACCGCCTAGCTGCAGGAGAAGTCCGGGCCTAGAATTCAGGAGATATGGTAAGACAGAAAACAGCTGCTGGAACCTTTCAGCAAAGCAAAAAGTTTGACGTTAAGTTATCACTAACACTTTTTTATATGTGCACCAATTAAAAATGATAACTTTACAACAGTGAAAATCTTTTTAACCCGTTCATGGACTGAAACGGTGTTTACCGTAAAATTAAACATTAGAATATGATAGTACAAGGTACCCCGCTTCACTATATAGATCTCAAAAAACTAACTACGGACTTTACAGTGCGATTTCCAAGTACTTTCTGAGTAGTTGCCGCCTACCTGCTTCTCCATAGAGAAGTATCAACAACGTACTGACAAAATTCAATTATAATTTTCAAGTTTTTATTGAATGTTACGATGTTTTACTACTACGATATTCGATTATTTTTTGTGAAACTGCTCCACTAGTTTGTTATAATTTATAATTTACAAAAATCGAATACTTGGAAAAACAAATCCTTCGATCCGGCCGTAATAATTAGAACAAACTAGTGGAGTAATTTCACAAAACATAATTGAATATCATGGTAGTAAAGCATTCTGACATTCAATAAAAATTTAATTACAGTTAATAGCGACATCTCTAGCCAAGGCTGGCAGAAAACAAAATGAAGAATGTATTAGAAAGGAAATTAATTAAGCATTAGTCGCCACTAAGTGATAATTTTCTCGTGACCTCCAACGCGTAATCTAGTAAATGAGTTCACTGTGTCATCTACGAACGGCGTAATGGAATGAAACATTGTTGCAGCGATTCTGGTTGACCTTCGTGCTTTTTAAATTAATTTTAGTTAAATCTATCATAAAATGAAATGGAAGTTAACATGGGCTGGAAGCTGTAAATGTAACTTAAAGGGTGATGAAATACTTTCATAGATTTCTCAAAGATGGCGCTACGGCTAAAATCTTTGAAAACCAAATACAAAGATCCGACAACGAGCACATAGAAAAATTCGTGAGGTCCGCTGGTTCATTTCGTGGCTTAGTTGGCATAGCGACTAGCACGGTTTGCTAGGAGACGTCGGTTCGAATCCGGCCAGATCGAAAGACTTTTTTCTGATCTTTTTATTAATAATTATATCAAATAGAATTTTCTAGTTTTTATTGATTATCACGATGTTTTTTACGTGCCAACTAAGCCACAGAACGAACCAGCGGACCTCATGAAATTTTCTACGTGCTTGTTGCTGATCTTGTTGAATCCGTTGCACCATCTGTTGAACGCCATTTATATTGAACATTCTATATTTAATCAATATAAGCACTACGGCAAGAAAAGTACCTACTGACATTTTTGTGTGCGGTACTATATATATATGTACTGTCCATTAAAGGGTCAAATAGGTAAAATACCAAATTCATGTACTATTCAGTGAGTTTTTAACTCCTTTAGCTTTAGTTTTCTTCAATTAATTAAGTTAAGCAAAACCCCAGACGATCAGCGTATTTTTAGTTGACTGACTGCAGTGAAGGGGAGATACATTTTAATTACTAATGCACATTTTCCTTAAAGGAATCTGTCAGTTGGGAATAACGAGGAAACACAACTTTGATCACACAAATACGAATACATGCAAAATGGTATAATATCCCTCTACTGCAGCGTTCAACCGGCGAGTAGCGTGTTATATTTAATAATTAAGAAAATTTAAATTAAGCCATCGATTCATTAACAATTTCCAGATCACCGCTCTTGTACTCGCATAGCAATCAATACCGAAAGTATATGTATTTTCGATATGTACAATATGAACAATTGAACATCAAAACAAGCTTTGAATTCACATATTACATTTGGCAAAGACTATCTACGTTTTAACAGTAAAGATTTGATTTTATTTTGATATAATTATTATTAAACAATTTTTGACTGACCCAGAGGCAAAAATGGGAAGGGAAAACATATCTTCCATATTTACTTCCGTAATTAAATTTCACAAGTGACCTCTAGTGGTTTAGTAATAAATAATATGTATATTCTATAGTAGAATCATCAGCCGGAATAAAGCTTAAATAGATTACTCCATTAGAGTTCCACGAGATACGGTACTGTGTCATTAATTAGTTAGTTCACCGAACCATTCACTAGATCATCGATTCATCTTGTGGAATGGTTTTCCAATTTCTAGTCAATCGAAAATCTTTATACCGCAATGGTTGTAGGTACTGTGACCTCAGCTACGTATCCATTTCAAATTATTATTACATTCCCTAATACCTAGAATCACTTGTAAAATCTCATTCAATATTCAGTCATCCCGTCTACTAAGACTAAACCTACGATGGAACTTCATTCCTTTCTTCTTTTCTTTTTCTTCAGATTTTCCATCCATTAAATTATCAGCACTCTTAGCTACTTGCACACTTTTTCTTCTATTTTTCATAGATTTCACAAGTTTGTAGAACTTTCCTTTCTTCTTAATAGGGTCTTGTAGATTTGGGACTTCTTCTTCGACTTCTACACTAAAGTCTGATGATATGTCTCCTAGGTCTTCAACGCTATGACTCTCGATTTCTTTAGGAGCTGGTACTTCGAGTCTAGCTTTGGAAGTGACAGGTTTCTGCTTTGGAGGCGGTGGTGGAGCATCAGGGTCTACACACTGAAAAGAAAAAAAATTAGAAATCTTATAGCACGGTTCTTAACTAAAAAGCACAGACAGATGTCTATGTATTTGGATTGTATATATTCAGTTATATTATTATTTATAAGTAGATACGTGTCAGTTGAGTAAGAAATAATTCAAAGTATTTTTTTAGTTTTATAAGAAGCATTTTGTAGGGTAGAACCATTCCACTTTTCATTAAAAACATAAGATAACAGATAATCATCGAGTAAGTGATCATACACATGTGCTCGATGCAGGTAATGGACACAATTAGATAATAAGAATCATATAAAGAAATAAAACTTATTAAAAATTTGTTGCTGTCAGTACTAAGTACCTAGAATGCTGAAAGGAATGTTTTCTACAATTCTAAAAAATCTGAAACAAAATAAATAGAAATTGAATACAGATTACTAAATATTAATCAATCGGAAGTTTATAAAGAAACAGTGTAGTTCTTACTAGTTTTCCCCTCTACAGATAATTACAAAAGGGTCCTTTTTGAAGAATCGATACGAAGTTGCGCAGGCTGGATGAAAATAAAGTGGTTTCATTATTAATAAGATACTTTCGTTTCGAAACAAAGGGAAAACCCGGGACGTTTTACAAACACCGTTTAAAATTGAGGACTTAAATAAGCTTATAAATTAGATCAAGTATCTAACAATACTTATTCATAAATTTATCATAACAAAAATAATACCGGAGTCATTGAAAACATAATGGAGAACATTTCGTATAGATTCATGAACTTTAGAATCTTATTTATTTTTTAGGTAGAAGTGCGAAACTCACATCAGCAAGTGAAATCCGATAAGGCGGGACCTGCTCGGGATGTCGCCAGGGCTTGTGGTAGGGATGTTCAGTCAGAGCCTTCCAGCCCGGGTACTTCCGAGCTGCGGCTTGGAGCTGATGCACTAACCGAGGAGCCAATTGCGCTGTTACCCTAGAAAATAAAGAGGCAAATCTTAATAACGACATCTCACTTATTTTACAAGTAGTTTTGATCGTTAATAAATTCGCTTGTGTACAATTCCATAATAAATATTCTCTGAACGCTATAACTTGGACCTTTCGAAGGCGAGAGTTAATAAGCATTATTTAGGTGTGTATGCTCCATCGTTGACCTCATCGTCACTTTGCATCATGTGAAATGGAGATCAAATGCGCACTTTTTTTTGTAAATGACAACATTTGATACAATCGAATAGATTGATTGGCACCTGAGAATAAATCAAACTTCTAATACGGCAAACATATCCACAAGTCCCCACTAAAAAATTCCCACTGTTAGGATATCAAAAAGTTCAGTGCCTTGGCGCAATTGTTGGCAATGACATTGCGTGCCTTATATTACAATAAACATTTCCCAATATCAACGACACATTAATATTGTAGAAACATTTTCCTACTTATATTAAATGAAATTCAACAGATTAAAAAAAATTATACGAATTCTACAAGATAACCTTGGTTCAGTCAACTCAAGGTTATTTTGTAGAAATAAGGATAATTAAGGATTATTTTGTAAGACTGTGTATGTTACACGCACGAACTCAGCGCCTCGTGTCGTCGCTTCCGCCATGGTGGAGTATGTTATGGTACCCCCTAACAGCGTCGTTATGCAGGTAAACACGCAGCGTCCACTAAAGATTTTTGAAGTTGATTACGACTTCACGCATTAACTGCAAACGTGGAGTCAATCTGTTAGCAGCCTAGGATACTGGTGTATTTATTTCTGATAGCAAGTCGCGTGATGAACAAGTCGTGTGGGTGGTAAACGACACGCTTGTTCATAACAGTTGCAGCGCCACTCAGAACTATACCGCACAGATCTGAGGGGCACTGCCACTATGCGTCATCCTGAGACATAAATTGCCAAGTCCCATGTGCGTGTAATTGAAATTACACCCACCCAGCACCCCTACCCTTCAAAACCGGAACGCAGTAATGCTCACATTACTGCTTGGCGGCTGAAACTGGTGGCAGTACTTCCCTGGACGAACTCTTTCACAAGGAGCACTACGGCTACAAAATAAACTTTAAACTTTGAGACTAATTTCATTTTCCATAGATATAGCATTACTCACTTCACTTGCCAAAATTGGAGGTAAAATTTTTGTGCTACAGGACATAGCTACATTGTATTCTAACAGTTCTAACGATACGATAAGCTCGATTCATTCAAATTCTTGTAAAGCCTCTCAACTATGAACACTAACGGAGGCCGCCTGCCTGTAGGTAATTAGACTGTTAGAGTTATTACAACTTTACATAGTCTTGAGGTAAGATTTTTTCAATTTTTGATGTAGTGTGCCTTGACGGTTAACAGGTGTCTACAGATTAGCTCGATTTTTGAAGATCGTAACAGTCGCCTATTGACGATTGATAAATATCAAGGTTAAAATCTAATAAATTTGTAGGCAGACGCCAAATTTAAATTCCATAAGTCGATCGATAAATAATACGATGACGATCATCTGTTGCTAACACATTTATGTTATTTTGTCTGATCACACGTGTCGCGTGAGTTGCCCTTTAAGTCCGTAGCCTAAGTCCGGACATTGTCGCAGGACACTGCTACCTGACATCTCCGGCACTAGCCCGGAGAGCTAGTGGAGGATAAGCTAGACATCCTCAGGTTCCTCCGGCTGCGTAGGAATTTGGGAACTAGAGAGACGCTGTTCATTCGGCGTGAGGAAGTGAGCGTGGCTCACACTACAGCTCCGGTACCTATCTGGAAAATAGGAGGGTGCTGTACTGGGGTTGAAGGGGCTGATCTGGGGTTAGGACCTGACTCAGATGGTCCCTGTGCGGGTTCGCTCGCACAGGTCATAGTGCCCTTCCCGCATAACCAAGAGGTTGATAGGGAGGGGCACTGCAAACACGACTTATGTAGAAAGATATGGGACTGATCACATGTCGATTGACAAACAATACGATGCCGATCGTCTGTTGCTTACACACGCTGACCGTCAAAATCAAGCAAATCTGTAGGCACCTTCAAGTACACTTATTTCTCAGATTTAAAATAATTGTACACATTGGTAAAGTTTTTTATTGTTTTCAGTAATTCATGGATTTGTGTTTGTTACAATTCTTATTGCATTTTCTGAGTGAGTTCCTTTTCCACGGTGGCCTATATACTGCGTGTCCTAATCAGTTTTCGGTGATTCGAATTTATTACTAAAAAAAATTGCACATTACCCTTCACACCTTAATATCTTATCAGCTTGGCGGGAAAAATAGGCAAAGTGGCAGTTCTTACCTGACGAACTCTTTCAGAAGGAGATTTTTATTTGTTTGAATTAGTACCAGTATCAACTCGCCATATTTTTAATCAAAGTTACAATACCTGTTGACTAGCCAAGCGGGCAGCGCTCCTCTGGGATCCGAGCGAGAGACGTAACCTAGCCAGCTGCCCTTCCCCTGAGGCCGAGAACGAACCACGAAGCCGGTCAACAACGATATTGCCCTGAGAAATAAAACAAAAATATTGCTAGAAATAAATAATTTAAAGATCGTGTGTGCTTAAATAATGTTCAAAATTTACGAGGCCATTTACGAGGTACAAAATTATAGTGAAACTAAAACTTCACACTAAAGGTTATTTACAGCTTCTGCGTACTTAAATGACAAAAGTCCATGGTAGTGATTCCTTTAACATTTGCAGGTTGTCTCGATCTTAAACCTATTTAAAATAAATATTGTAATGCTAAATGTATACAAATGTTTATTTACAAAGAGTAGCCCTTAGAGTTTCGTAATCGTTCTCGGCAGGGAAAAATGCCTTACGATTGAGTTGTAGAGTTTAATCAATGAGACGATTCCAAATATAAATTGCTTATATATGAAATACAGATTATTTTAGTTTTGAGTTTTTCGTAACAGACCGGGAGCCTAAGACATCAATTTCTAAGTTATGGGCATTTGTGAATATTTAGTAGGAATACCTCTCGCTGATGGAGACAGAAAAAAATGATGAAACCTGCATGTCGAAGAATAAAGATTATTCGAGTTTGACATTGTGTGAGATGCATGATTTTAAATTAGGCCCGCCCAAGCGGCTATACAGTACTATGTAACTGATTGGCCGATTGAAGTGTACATCATTTTGAGCGACCACTTATCAGCATACATTCACATGTACATGTTGACAACGTTCGTCTTTGATTAGTACATATACGAAGGACAACGTTGGGGAAACTAGTCAGTGCTGAGGCTTTAGTCTTGTGAAAGCAACCAAATTTTGTTTAGGAGACTTTCAAAATCAGCAAATTGTTCTGAATTCATACCGCCACCGTATCAAACGCTTTGGCTAAGTCAAGAAACATACCCAAGCAGGGCTTATTCGTATCTAAGTACGTCGAGATCAGCATAATCATCAGCTCAACTGCAACCTTGGTCGATCTGTTTGCTCAAAAATAACCGTACTGTCGCTCTGAAATAATATCATTTTTCAGGAAGGACGCCAACCAACGACTTGCTCAATAGTCATTCCCAGCAAAATAGATCTATCTGTATTTGCTGGGATCAAACGTGTCCCTCGCCTTGTCCATTGGAGTAACTGCCGACGACGAAATTTTAACTATCTTCATTATATAAGTGGGTGATAACTCCATCAAGACCAGATTATCCAAATTTAAACTTTGTGTCAAGGACTCAACTTTAATTTCGTGGTAGATCCAAAAGTGATTGTAAAGGTTTACTGTAGTTATATGTGCCATTTCGTCTTGAGTTCTATATCGATGGGTCCTAAGTATAAGGACCAAACTAACAAATTGATCATTTTTACTTTTTTGTGGATAATGCTTATTTCATTATAAAATGAAGCATTTCCCACAAAAAAGTGAAAATGATCAAATTGTTAGTTTGGCCCATATACTTAGGAGGACCCATCGATTTACAGCAGTAAGAATGTTGTTCGCTATAGTTTTACAGACATTCGAAAAATACTCATTGCCGTAGGCCAAACGAGCTCTTAATTTTGATTTTTCTTAGCGTACGTTATGTTTTCCATTGTCTCAGTTCTTGTTGTAATCCACTGACTCGTAATTCCGGAGGAGGTTATGGTGAAAGTTTTTATACCGAGTATAGACGCGTTTTAGAATTTCGTCGTAGGAATTATTGAGACATTTTGCATGGAAATGATCTCTAACTTTAGAGCAACGAACAAGAGCATATATACATTTTTTATTAGTTTTCAGCGTGTGGCAAAAGACGCTGATATCGGAGGTTTTCAAGTAATAAAGGAACAATTGACCTCTTCAAAAAGGTCAGTGAGTATTAATAATTAGTTAAACGATATAAAAAGGTCAATGGAGGTAAAAGCCTAAATGGCAGAATATTATACCTTAAAAAAGTATGATGATGATGCGTAATATGTTTTTTGATACTTTATCACGGATGAACTTTCTTGGATAAAAAAAGAAAAATATTGGTTAATCTGCAACTAAAAAGAAGTGTATTGAGACCCTGATAATAGGGTGACGACAAATTGAAAGCATGATTTCCAACACATAAATAACTGAGTAGACTATTGATTTTAGTACGCAAACACTGTAAATATAAGTTCTACTACTTTGTGTGTATTAGCTAACCTTGTGTTTAAATTTTAACCCACAAGGACACTAAAATAATGAATTAGAGATGTTACATTTGATATTTGATTTTAAAAAGAATTAGTACCTATAACATCTTGTATCTTTTACATGTGATGATTGAATCAAAAACTTTTATAATATACGTGCTAATTTAAAGAACTTTCAATAATGTAGGTGTGCAGTCGCCCGCGGAAAGTAGGTTAGGGTAGTAAAAAGGAAATGCACGATCGTCACAGACTGCGCTCCCTGCGTGTTGTGTTCATGTTATCTAAATTTTTATTGAATTGATATTCAATTATTTTTTCTGGAATTGCCCCACTAGTTCACAAAGATCAAATACTTAAAAAATTCTTCGATCCGGCCAGATTCGAACCGACAGTCGTCTCCTAGCAAACCGTGCCATACGCTATGCCAACTAAGCCAAGGAACGAACCGGCGGACCTCACGAATTTTCCCATGTACCTGTTGTCGGATCTTGGTATTTGGTTTTCAACGACTTTTTAGCGCCATCTATGAGAAATCTATGAAAGTATTTCGTAATCCAGTTAGGTACTTTTACAGATCTTGATCATATTATCTTCCATATGATTTTGTGGTAGATTTAACTAAAATTAATTTAAAAAGCACTACGGTCATCCGGAATCGCTGTAACAATGTCTCATTCCATTACGCCGTTCGTAGATGACACAGTGAACTCATTTACTAGATTACGCGTTGGAGGTCACGAGAAAATTATCATTTTGTGGCGACTAAAGCTTAATTAATTTCCTTTCTAATTCATTCTTCATTTTATTACCCTTACCCCATCGGTGTTGGTCTCAATAATTTTATTTGAACGCGTTAATTTGAAACGGGACATTATCGAAGTTCTAAGTAAAACGAAAGAACGTAAAAGCAGCATTTTATTGCACATAACAATAAAATACAGAAGTAGACACGACAAAAGGAAGCAGACAGCTTTATTGCAGGTAGAATTTAATTTTAGCGATCTTTATACAGTATTGGAAGCCATCCGTCACTCATGTACCTATACCACAGCAACATAATCTTAACTAATTTCATTGCAAACCGAACTTGCCTCTTTTATGTAAAAAATATGTACCTACGTATTTGTTACAAATATAGTGAATGGCACCCCTTAAATTACATCTATGGTATAAAAAATTCTATGACTTCAAAATGTCACTCTCGCATTTTCACTTCCTCCGACACTCTGCATCACGACACGTTACGTTACGTACCTACGTTTATAGTATAAATTATATGTTATTATTTTATCTATTTAAGATATTGTTGACAATGAAATATTGACGATATTTGGTGAATATTTGCAGTAATGTATTATAATATATAAATTAAGCATCAAGACGCGCTTTAATTTTCGCCGCATCACTCACATTGTCTTTAGCACGTGCGTAGGTACCTTACTTTAAGTGCCTTCAAAATACATAACAGTATTAAAGCTTACCTTACACTACTTTTACTTAACTTTGCATGTTTTATAACAAATACAACCTGATAAAAAAACATAATAAAGCTTTAGCGGTAATAATCACCCACTTATTATTTCCTTGGGTAATTACTGTTTTGTTCGGCACTGTCTATAAGTGACATAAGGTAATAAATGAAAAATCACGACATGTTCGAGTTGCAAGAACGAAAGACGAAATATGAAATTAGTTCGCACATTTTCCATTCGAGTAAGGGAGTCACCACACTTAAACGCAGGCCACACCACGAACGAAGCTAAACTAACATAGTTTAGCTCACGTAGTATTCATACTTCGGTTTACACCGCGAACTAAGCTAACCGAGCTGACTAAACTAACCTAACGATCCCGCTAAGCTAAGCTGTGTTAAACAGCCTGTGTAAAGCCGCCCTTCTACCGCCCATCACCCCTGCACATAGTGTAGCACGTCACTACTTACTGCGTATTTCTGCGTATTTTCTTAGCTTAGTTTTGCATGCAACTACGTGATCTAAGCTCAGTTGGCTTAGCTTCATTCGTGGTATGGCCTGCGCTTTATTAACGCGGAATCGGATTGAGACGGTCAGAAAAAGATTTTTGTCCAAGCAATAAGAGCGAAAAAGACGTGATGCGAAACGCATAACGTCTTTTTAGCTCTTATTGTATTACATATCATAAAAAATTTTCTGTCCGGCCTAATGCGATTCCGTGTCTATAAGTGTGGTATATCCCTAAAAGATCGTGCCTGAGTTTCGAGTTACGAGTACGATAATTCCGAATTATGGAACAAACCGACTTCTAGAATTATGGTTAAATTTTTCTTATTTTCGACGCTATCAAGAACCGTGGACAAAACTAAACGCCCTATAAGTAGTAAAAGCTAAACAGTGAACCACAAAATTGCAAAGTAAGCGTATAAAAATAGACTCAATTTTCGAAAGCACTTGATGAAGCGTGAGATTTGTTACGGATGACGTCACAACGTCCGACTGACGCTGTCGATGAACAGCAGGGCAAGGCTACGTATTGACGCACATTATCTTATCTAATCAGTGGAGTGTGGAGAATTCAGCAAATGAACTAATGAGCCGTGACCGTTAAGGACTGAGTCACCATCAGTGAAAGTTCCACTCGGATAAACTGGAATAACATCGGGACAAAGTTTCATTCGGGTTAAATCGGAAGTAATTTAATATCTCATTACGTCAAATGGTTGCCACCATCATCTTTATATATGTATTAGATGTATGTAATTACGTTTCAGTAATAAATTTTATTTTATATAAATGTAAATATATAGAAGAAGTAGTTTATTAAATATTAATATCTATATATGTGTAGGATCTTATTTTATTTATTATCTCTCTACCTGCTTATCTTCGAAAAACATTTTAGTAGACCGT